ATTTGGAATATTGAGCGCCAAACTTTGAAGTGTGGATCCGTTAGCCGCTAAACCTCTGATGAGGACTCCATCGATGTTGACACGTTCAATGATAGGATAATTGGATTGAAGGTTTATTTATGAATAAATCCAAACACCAGTGCTTAGGAGAGCACATTAACACTTTTATTCAAAATAACTCTTGACTCAAAAATCTAAAACTTGGACTACAAACTGGATGAACTTCTAATAAACTTATAAAAACTCATAAAAACTTTGAAGAAAAACTACTTGAAGAGAGAAGCTTGAAAAGTTGTCGGAACAACAGCCACGATGGGACTGACTTAAATTTAAGTTTTAAATCTATGGGTTGGCTCAAAACACACTAGACCAAAAAGTTGCGCGCGCAATCCTGGCCCAGAGGAAAGGGAAGAGGGGTATGCTAAAACAGAACAGGGGAAATGAAAAGAGGGTGGAAGGGAAAGCGTGCGACGTCGCCAGTTTTCCTCTTGAGGGGTCTCAGGCCCTCCGCGTAGGAATACAATGAACAAAGGAGAACCCAAACACGTGTGGACCACTTGAAACAGAGAAACTTTCGAAATATACCAGAATTGAGATTTTACGATTTTATGACTGTGACCGATGTGTTTATTTTTCTCTCTGAGTTTAGAATTTTCAGGAAAAGCCTTTCTGTAACGAATTTTGGAGAGTAATAAATTGAGAACTCAACTCAAGTACTTGACATTTACGATTCCTGGCAACGGTTTTTCTTACACTCGTCAAATTATTTTTTGTCCATCGTTCATTGTCCTCTGTTGTTCGACCATTTTCTTGGCATTCTCAAATTTCAGACTTTTTATATTCATTTTGAAATAATAATTCAAATCTCGCGGATTAAAATGGCCGATAAATAGTACCCCAACCCAAGTAGCAAACCTTGCGAAAGATATCTGAAAGTATACCAAAAAGGCAGACTAATGTCTGTCCAAAAAGGTAACTTGTGTCTAGAAGTTACCTAGAAGTTAACTAAAAGTTATCGTATGACTACAAGATACCTATTGGACGGACATTAGTCTGCCTTTTTGGTATACTTTCAGATATCTTTCGCAAGGTTTGCTACTTGGGTACCATCTATAAAATTCAACGTCGGGACGTTACATAGGATTGGGTGCATTTCGGAATCAACTACGCCCAGTGGCAGTACTTGAGTGCGGATTTCACTGCAGAGTGTTTCGTAATTCCGCAGCGCGGTAACGGGGGGATTTTTAAATTTGTAAAAAAAATATTTTTGATGAATTTTTTTTTTGGCGGAAGGGCGGTGGCGGAGGGGGCGAAGGGGTTAGGGCCAAATAATAATATTAATTATTTTTGATAAATTTTCTTTTTTTAGCACAAGGGTGGTGGGGGAGGTGGTGAAGGGGTTGGTGCCAAATAATAATATTAATTATTCTTGATAAATTTTCTTTTTTCAGCACAAGGGTGGTGGGGGAGGGGGCGAAGAGGTAAGAGCCAAATAATAATATTAATTATCCTTTTTTTCCCATTTTTGGAGCAGTGGGGAAGGGGGCTAAGGAATTAGAGCCAAATAATAATTTCACGAGGGTCAAATGTNTTCGGAATCAACTACGCCCAGTGGCAGTACTTGAGTGCGGATTTCACTGCAGAGTGTTTCGTAATTCCGCAGCGCGGTAACGGGGGGATTTTTAAATTTGTAAAAAAAATATTTTTGATGAATTTTTTTTTTGGCGGAAGGGCGGTGGCGGAGGGGGCGAAGGGGTTAGGGCCAAATAATAATATTAATTATTTTTGATAAATTTTCTTTTTTTAGCACAAGGGTGGTGGGGGAGGTGGTGAAGGGGTTGGTGCCAAATAATAATATTAATTATTCTTGATAAATTTTCTTTTTTCAGCACAAGGGTGGTGGGGGAGGGGGCGAAGAGGTAAGAGCCAAATAATAATATTAATTATCCTTTTTTTCCCATTTTTGGAGCAGTGGGGAAGGGGGCTAAGGAATTAGAGCCAAATAATAATTTCACGAGGGTCAAATGTCACGAGGCTTACGAGAGCCAAGAGTAAAAAATAGAATTTCACAAGGGTCAAAAAACGTCACGAGGACTACGAGGGGAAAATTGAATTTCAAACTTCTCGTCACGTTTGAGCCTAGTGAAATTTCATTTTTCCCTCTTGGTTCTCGTGAGCCTCGCGATGTTTGATCCTCATGAAATTATTATTTGATTCTAATCCCTTCGCCCCCTTCCCCACTACTTCAAAAATGAGGAAAAAACACGAATTAATATTATTATTTGATACTAACCCCTTCACCCGCTCCCCCTCCCCGCTCTGCATAAAAAAAAAGGAAAATAATCGAAAATAATTGATATTATTATTTGGTTCTAACCCCTTCACCCCCTCCCCCACCTCCCTTGTGCTAAAAAAATAAAATTCATAAAAAATAATTGATATTATTATTTGGCTCTAACCCATTCGCCCCCTCCCACACCTCCCTTCTGCCGAAAAAAAAGAAAAATTTATCAAAAATAATTAATATTATTATTTAACACTTCGAATTCAAAAAATGGCGCGACTGCGCGAAGTTAGCAACAAGTAACTACAAGAATTACGAAACAGAAATATTGGTAGTGGCAGTACTGCCACTGCGCGTAGTTGATTCCGAAATGCACCTACATCCCCGAGATGGAGTGAATTTATAACCAAAAAAAAAATCATAATATTTTGACGTTTCAACGGATGGGCGTTTTATAGCCTAAAATTTACATTTGTTTATATATATTATATAATTTAATGAAGGGATCAAACATATTTTTTCAAATACAGCACGTTTTATGTCACTATAATTGTGAATGATTTGGTGATAAATTATGATCAAAGTATTTTCAAGCAACGATACAATTTTTAATAAGTTCGAGTATTAAACTGATGGCTCCGTTAACTGATTTGATTTCTTGCAGTATAATTGGTATGATATCAAATATCATTTATTCAATACTTCTATTATGATCGTGATAGCACATTTAGAGATCTCCGACCAAAGTCTACGACAAGAAAACTTCTGTCAAAAAAAATTCACACAAGAAAAATTGAAGTCAATTTGTTAGACCCTCAATAGAAGGTTTCAATTCTATATGCAACATCTTCCAATACAAGCAATGTCTCCAGTGATATCCTCAATTATTAATTTCTAATTTTATATTCCTTTCCATTCTCTGTTGAGGAGTTTCCATGTGTCCAATACTAAATTGTATTATAATTTATAGTCTCAAGTAATATTTCAATTACTTCTGTTATAAAAACAACCTTCCGTAAGCCTGTGTGAAATACGATGCATCCGTTCGAGCATTCTATTGAAATTCTATAAATTTTTTATTGATTTGTGACATTCATTGAATATTTTACTCCATTTAAGCAAATAGAAGTATTTTAGACAAACATATTTAACACTTTTAAGAGAAAGAACAAATTGATTACGCTTTTTCTATCCATCTTCTTCTGTTGATATTCTGAGAGAAAATATTCATGCCAAGGAATTTTTATACAAAAAAAGCTCAGTGAAGGACGCTGGAAGTTTTGCGCTTGCGGAATAGTGTTCAGGAGTTGGAATTTCTAAAAACTGTAGCAGTCGACATCGAGTTTATGACAAACGTTTCGCTTTGCCCCACCTTTCCCTAGCTACTATTCACCACTATTCACGTGAGATGGAAAAATGAAATGATAATTCTTCTGTTGCAGAAAAGGATTGTAATGGAGATGCGCTTTGGGCATGGACCTATCCAGCAGTACCGAAGGCACAAAAAACAGTCGTCACACGAAAATGTAATCTACAATCGGAGAACAGCAGTGCACAGTCCTTCGTTTGTTCCAGATACAGTGATAATTGGTTCTATATTTACTGCACTGAAGTCTTTGATACAGATAAATTGCCCAGGGTGAGTAATTATTCGCATTCTCTCATTCCATTCAATTAAAGTGGTAGAAACCTAATTTTAATTTTGAAGATTAAAATCAAAAATAAATTTATATGAAAATGAATATGAATGGATACATTCTGTTGCAGCTTGTGTTCAATTGGCAGCCTAGTATTATTGATAATAATTGATTTAGAAGTGCCAAAATAACGCAGTCTTATGAGATACTTAACATTTGAAAACAGAAAAAATGAATGAAAATTCAATGGCCAATATGCGAATTATAGTCACTGTTCAAATTTTGGAATAAATAATTTATGTTTCTGCGTACCCCGAAATGGCAGCGTTACGTTGGTTGAATCCTGACCATGCCATGTGAGGAATATATTTTCGAATGGAGAGGGTTGCCATTGATCGAGACACCCTAGTCAAACGCAAGACTATTTTTCTTTTAATAATCGAAAGACGAATTTGATTGATTAATTTCTTACAGTCGCCAAAGTCTTCTTTATTTTTTTGGGCTTCTTAAATTTGTTTTCCCTAGTTAGACTCAATGACTCAACTGGAGTTTATCCATATTACTTTGAGAGGGCAAATGGAATGAGTATATTAATGTAATTTTATTTCTCTTTCAAATTAGGTGAAGCAATTTGCTCTGGTTATTTTTACGAAAGACTTCAATCCTCAAAAGTACGAAGTACTGTGTAGAGTACTGAGTAAAATGTACTGCAAGACTGGTAATCCAACAGAAATACTACAATTGTATTTGTCAGTGTTCACAAAGGGCTCATGCACAACTCAAGAAAATGGAATTTTTATGTCAGACGATTACAATGGTCAACGATTGGTAGCTGACAGTAATATTCGAGGGCTTGTGAAAACATTTGAACTTGAAACAATACTGATTTATACAGCATTACTATTGAAGAAAAGGATAATTGTTTATCATCACAGTTTGGAGCAACTACTCAAGTGGGTCAAGACGTTTCCAGCTTTGATGAAACATAGGAAAGTCACTGATAATCTTTTTCCGTGGGTGGAGTTGGTACAGGATGAATTAGCTGAGTTGAAGGTTCAATTCAATATCATTGAGATTTTATAGAATTATTCTCAGCATTTTGCATGGTTGTATTCTTGAATTTTTATTATTCAATTTTTAGGGGTATTCTTACTATATAGCAGGCTGCAGGGACAGCTCGATTTCCTCAAAGACAGAATTGTACGATTTACTGGTGAACATTCCTGCAAGAGAGATCACTGTTGCTCCACATGCGAAAGAAAGCCTTACAATGACTAAAACACATAAAGAAATTGCTTTATTCATGGTACAGTTGGCGGAAAATCAGGGGAATACTGAGGCTCAAATAATTCATGAAATTGCGGAAAAAACTCAGGACCTTTTGAAACAATTGAAAAGTTTAGCGACCGTCGATAATACAGATGGTAGGAAAATAATAAAGCTTGAAACTTTTCGTGAACGCAATTTGCCACCGGCTGTTGAAAACTTTCTCATCAATCTGGCTACTGCAGAGAATATTTTCGCTTTGTAAATATTTGTTATTATGGAATAAAAAGAATTTTAATGAACAGTCGTGTTTTTGCATTAGCATGAAAATTCTGCTCATCAATGATTATGGACTTTTTTATGGTGTTCAGAGTCAAGCGGGCTATAACATTTTTAGATGAATAATATGGGAAAAAGAGGCAAAAAAGTACTTTGAATTTGGAAAAAATGCCAAAACGTAGAGATGAATTTCTTAATAATTTTTGCGTACTTTCCATTGTACAAAAAACTATTTCATTTTATTAATAATTTAAGGATTTATTGATTTTTTTCAAAATTACAAAATATCCATTGAACTTGGGAATTTTTTTTAGAATACTCATAACTCAGAATTAGTACATTCATTCACTCAGTCCAGACTCAAAAAAAAAATTCTTTTCATATCAACAAATAATTCTATGCACCATTCTATGATCAACTATTGAGTTTAAATCAAATAGTAGAAATTGTCCACTTCACTACGCTCTCTCTCTGAGCAGAGGCAGAACAAGGGAAATCAATTTCATTATCGAATCAATTCAGGAAATACCTTTGAATAGGAGATTTTTTACTTTTTTGAAAGTCCCCCGTCTCCCATGTAACAAGTTATAAGATTTTTTTGACTCACCCCCCCCCCCCCCC